GAAATATTAATACTTTTTCTGCCATAGCCCAATGTTCATCAGTTAAAAGCAACTGACCACCTTCAAGCCTAGGATAGTGAGCATGCATGAAAGTAGTGAAAGGGGTAATCCAAGAAACATTTGAGATGCTTAGTTGAAACAATCAAAAGAATTGATCAAGAAAAGCAAGCAACACACAAAAGAGGGCTAATCATGATATTTCAAGTGGTATTCTCACGTTGATGCTCTCACGCAAGTAAAGATGAAAAGAAGAAGCAAGCCAACCACAACAAGAAAGTGCACTTGATCATAAGTGGTATTCATTTCATATGGGTGAAGAGTGAAATTCAAAATGGTGTCTATTGATTTTCACCAAGCTTATAATTGGACTTCGTATTGCTATTGAAGTAATGAATTGGAATCTATGTGACTATCCTCTACTCCAACATAGCAAAGGTATCATTGTAATATGCATGATCATTTCATCCTTTACTAGTATGCGATTAGTGCATATAGTACATGCTTCATAGGATCATGCATAACAAATGAAATGTTTAAATTCATAACCTACCACTGTTGCTTGAATGATTATTTGTTCTAGTGGTTAGTATATGAATTTGTTCATAAGCTAGTAAACCCAAGTACTTGATTTTATTTGAATTGCCAACAAGTGACAAGTACAACATTGGCAAGATAACCCTTGCAAGAGGTGTGAAGAAGACATTGGTTCAAACCGGACTTGGTAGCTTAGGCAAATCAATATTAGTTCAAGTCAACCATAGAAGCTCATGATAGTGATAAGAGTACAAGCACAAGACAACAATGCAAATGGATATCTAGTTTGTTTGTTATAAGTGGTATCTAGACTCAAGTATTTCATCAAGAATCTATAAGTGATGTCTAGATCAACTCACAAGTGATATCCTATAAGTGGTACTCATGAAGATAGCAAATGTTTAAGAAATAGTTTTTATTGATAAATCCAATAAGTGGTTCCATACTAGAAGATTCTTTCAAGTGGTATCACATCTTCATATGATATCAATCATGCAAGACGGTGGTTCCACAAGTGATCCTCAACTTTAAGTGATCATCAAATGAAGTATGCATCCCTCACCTACAAGAGCTCAAGTGTATCAAATGGATGACCCATGCTATCATATAGGGAGAGGTGTCCCACAAATTGATATCAAGATCAAAGATCCTATGTGTGGTATCTCAAGAAGCCCTACACAAGATACAAGTGGTACAAGTTACAAGTGGTGTCATTCCAACAATCAAGTGATGTCCATAAAAAATGCAAGATTCAAGTCTCAACCATCTACCCCAAATGCATACCTTTGCATCAATGAGAAGCACACCTTTTATGAAAATTGACGACAAAGGGGGAGAGATTGTACAAAGATATGAAACTTTTAAGATTGAGATTGTACAAGGGGGAGAGATAAGATATGAAAGCTTTGGGAGAGATTGAAACAAAGAAGTAGAGGTTGGACATGGACATGGACAAAGAGGAAGCAACATTGAAGAAAAGAGATGGATCAAAATTCTTGGACAAGAGAAGCACACAAATAGGGGGAGCAAGCTCATGAACTTTGTTTGATTGCATTTGTTATGTGCATATTCATGTGCTTGCTTGTATTGCATAAGTTCTTAAATTCAATATGCATGCTTGTGTGAGGTATGCTAGTTGTAGAATTTGATTGATGAAATGAAAACTAGCATGCATAGGATGATAGCTAGACACTTGGTATGTTTTTCAAGTAATTCTAGTACCTTGGTTTTAATATTGATCTCACAAGGTATCTAGTGATTTTATTTTCAAGTGATATCTAGCTAACCATAGTGCTAAGGATGAACTTAAAGGTGCAACTCCGATTGGCATCAAGCTTCAAAGGTTTACTCTATACACCTTAGCATCATTTAGTAGTAATTACTCTCCCACAATTTCAATCTATGCATATGTGCGAGCTTCAAAACTAATACTCTAGCACATATGTAGGGGGAGCTAATACTACCATTTCGGGTTTATGGTACTTATCCAAAATCATTTACACATGGTAAAATTGCTTGGGCAAGCAACATGAATCCAAAAGAGCTTAATTTCCATATCTTTGTAGAGTTGTCATCAATTATCAAAAAGGGGGAGATTGAAAGGTCCTTGTGTGGTTTTGGTAATTGAGTGACAATCCTAGGTGGACTAATTGTGTTTATGTGAGATACACAGGTAATTAGTCCATAGATACATATGTGTGAGCAACATTTGCCATGAAGGTGAAAATGGCTTGGAGATGTTGCAAAGCTCACACATGTGATGATGAAGGAGCTTATTGCACATGAGACATGACATTGAGTCATGTGATCAAGGTGGAGAAGATCAAGACAAAACTTGGCTTGATGGACCGGTTGTAAGCGTGAAGGGCAAGTTGGAGGCTTTGGAGCGATGGACCACGTGGCGGTGAAGCTTGAGCAAGACTTGGCGCCGATGGACGAAGGCAATGGTGAAAAGCAAGTGAAGTCAAGATCGATGAACCAATATGATCACGTGATGATATGAAGTGGATCATATCATTGTTGATCATGTTGGTGCATGTGTTGCATCGACATTGGAGGGGATGGAATGGAATGCGCAAGGCAAAGGTATAACCTAGGACATTTTATTTCACCGGTTATAGGTGTGTAGAGAAGTTGATGACCGGGTTTATGATAGATGGCTGTACTATTAAGAGGGGCAAACTTGTTTACATATCGGTCATCTAGTGCCACTCGAGTGATCTAACTTTACATCGTCACTAGGATTGAGTGGCGTGGCAAGTTGAGTGGCTAATCCTTTGGGAAATGTTTGTGAAAAGCTAACACACATACACATGGTGGTGTACACTTGGTGGTGTTGGCACATTTATAAAGGAGATGAAGTTGGAGTTGATGTGGATCAACTCGGTGCTGAAATGGAGGCGAGAAGGGTTCAAAACTTCACCGGCGGAGTGTCCGCCCGTAGAGTGCAGACGGTTCGACGGTGCCACCGACGCCCTATACAGAAAAGACAGGGTTTCACAGAGTGCACCGGATGCTAGTCACGCAGTGACCGGATGCTGGGGTCCTGCGTTCGGTCAGTGGCGGCAGAGAGCATGCAGGCATCGGTCTTCGACTGGAAGCTGGCGCTAAAAGTGATCGGACGCTGGCTGGGTGCGACCGGTCAGGCTAACGTACGGTGACATAGATGATGTAGAGAAGGTGGAGAAGGACTAGACGCTGATGCTGCGTCCGATCGTGATCGACCGGACGTGTCCGGTCACGACTGGTACCTTACTGGAAATGACCGGACGCTGGGGTTGCTGCGTCCGGTCACTTTGAGCAGCTGCGTCCGGTCATCACTTGACCATTGAGATTAAGCGACTGAGGTTGAATGGAGGCGACACGTGGCGAGCATCCATTGACCAGACGCTGAGGTCCTGCGTCCGGTCAATATGACTGGAGCGTCCGGTCGTCCTGAGTTTTGCCCAGTGAAGGGGTAACGGCTAGTTTAGCCCATGGGGCTATAAATAGAAGGGTGTGTCAGCCATGGCAGGTGCTGAGCACCTCAGGGGACTTTGTGTCCATGCTTGAGAGTGCTTGGGAGCCTTTCATTTCACATATGCTTGACAGTGATCATCCGATTGTGTGAGAGAGCGATTCTAGTGCGATTGTATCGTGAGGTTGCATCGAGTGACACTAGATGATCAAGTTGCAAGCCGGTGGTGCTTGTTACTCTTGGAGGTTGCCACCTCCTAGATGGCTTGGTGGTGGTCTCCGTTGAAGCCCGCAAGAAGCTTGTGCGGTGCTCCGGAGAAGAGCTTTGTGAGGGGCATTGTGCTCACCCCACGGGAGCCGCGAAGAGCAACTCTAGTTGAGCATGTCATTGAGCTACCCTCACTTTCGGGGTAGGTTCTTGCGGTGCCCGACGTGCAGGCTTGGCGGGTGATGCCAATTAGCCGCCGAACCACCAAGTGAGCGGTCGACACAACGGGGACGTAGCGTGTTACCAAGCACGTGAACCTCGGAAGAAAATCACCATGTCAACCTTGTTCTTCCCGTTGGTTTGCAATCCCTTTACACAAGATTGTGATTGCTTTTATATATATTATGCTTGTGTAGTTGCTCTTGTAATTAGTTAGCTTGTGTAGCTCACTAGTTACCTTCTTGCTTGTGTAGCATAGACGAAGCTCCCTTGTGTGGCTAATTTGGTTTGTGTAACCTTGTTAGTCACATTGCTTAGTTTGTGTAGCTAAGTATTTGCGCTCTCTAATTTAGCATTGGTTGCCTTGTTATTGAGCATTGCTAGTGAGCTTAGTTGGCTTTGTGTTTTTGCTTACTAGCATGTGTAGGAGCTCCCTCATTGCTTGAAATACTAGTGGCATAGGTTTATGTGACCTTGCTCCTAGAATTGGTTAGGTGAGCTCTAGTTAGCCCGGCACCTTTGTTGCTTAATTAGGATCTTTGCAAGGTGCTAGAGAACATAGATAGAGGGGTGTAGTCTTGGCTAGACCGATATTTTAATTCCGCACTTGTTTCGGTTAGCCGACGTGATTAAGTTTTAGAAACGACTATTCACCCCTCCTCTAGTCGCCATCTCGACCCTACAAACACTCATAATAAGAAAATCAGAGCATAGAAAAAGGACCTAGGGTACAAAAATCTTGATTCTTCTGCTGTTACAACCTGTAATCCAGATACAGTTGCTTCTAGTGTTGGGGATCTAGCCAGGAAAAGATGATATATAATAGGAATGCCAAGCAAGGGAATGAAAACACACAGAATAACAACCTGGAGCAAAATATGTAGAATGTGGATGCCCTGTGCCTAAATGAATCAGGGAACTAGAAACGGGGGTTCTGAAATGGAAAATCAACGATTTTGCTAAAGAGAAAGGTACTGTCAACTGCAATTTCTCGTGATGAGAACACTGAGAACAATACTATAAAGAGAAGTATGCTCAGGTCTCATGATTTGCCTCAAATGGAATATAAAGGCACTATGCAGAGATGTCCGGCAAAGGTATGAATAATCTTACAGAATCCTACAAAATATGCAAATAGATTATTACATTTATTACCTGCTTTACCTAGTTTCCCTAGTCTGAATTAGGGGCCTTTGTACAATATATGATTTGTTTTTCCTTTTGTCTTTGTGATATTTGTGTCTATGCACTTTGTTCATACTCTCTATTGTGTGCACTACTAGAATTTTGGCACTTTTGTTTGACATTTGAGTTCACCAGTTTGCTCATTTCATCTGAACTAGTTATTTGTGTTCATACCACTAGAACTTGTTTGTAGGGTTGTAAGCAGCTTGGCACACAAATTGTAGTGTCATACACACAAATAGCTAGTTTGGGATAACAAGTGAGCAAAAAGCAATGAATCCCAAATGACACACACTTTCTTTATAGTGTTTAGTATGATATATTTTTTTAAATTGGTGCAAGCAATAATGGAAAAACACACTGATTTTTTTTTCTTGTTTCTCTGGAGAGTTGGATATTATGAAATATTCACTTTTATTCATCATCACAGGTTTCTCTTGGTAAACATAAGATCCAGAATGGGTCTAGCCTCTGTAAGCAGAATATACCCAAGAATAAGAAGGGGAAGCCGAAGATATGCATGAGAAACAAAATGTGATAGATGAAATCCCCATGGACATTGTTGTACTTCTTGCCAGAAATTAGGATGAGAGACGGTTGATGACTGACATCAGTTCTTTCGAAAATAGTCATACTTGACCCGAGATAGTTGCAATTGATTGTGCTGAAATTGCTGCCAAGGACGGTCCCATTGATACATCAACAGAGCTTGACACTAATTTCCAAAAATGTTTGGCATTAGAAAGTAGGCGGAAGTCCTTAAGGGTCATGCGTCATCTAGCACAAAGGCTCCCAGTGTGAATCCATAGGATTTACATACACAAAAGTTATCACAGTGTCACGCAGCATCCATCACTGAGGTTCTCAATGGTCACCTTCTAGAATCAGAAATACATAATTCATTTTAGGTACATGCATTACCCATCACAAGGTCTTCCGTTTTGTACCCTCCAAAGCTACGTGTCCCTGACATTTTAGATTGTGTCTAGGAACAACAATATTTCTGAAGGGACAAAGAAGTAACCATTACATGTATGTCACCAATAGTTGCACATCATCAACATATTGCTGAAGTGTCGGATTGGAGCTAGAGAAATAAATAAGGGGGAAAGAAGGTAATGTGGGATTCTTTCAAGGCAACTTCAATGAATTCACCAGCATCAACATATGGTTTTCAATTTAGAAACCAACTTCAAGAAGTTGATCTAGCTTTCATTCATGTGTTTGAAGCTTCCGGTAACTATGCAACTCACCCTTTAGTAATTGCAGACATAGACCACTACAAGAAGGAAGCAGTTAGCCAGGTTCAGCTGAGAAGTGTTCCAAGCACATCATTAACTATGGAGGCTGGTAGAAGTGTTGCAAGAACATCATCAATTATGGAGGCTGGTAGAAGTGTTGCAAGCATATCAGTAACTATGGAAGCCGGTACTGATAGACTGTATGATCGAAGGATCACTAGATAGTCTGGCCTTTACCCAAACAAATGTATAGCTGCAAGACATCTTTTGAGACTGGTGGATCCATCAACGACGCAAGGCTTCACAAACTATCAAAGAGCTAACATGCGCCAGATGGAACTTCAAACACAAACTTCTCAGTTCACAGTATGCACGGCATGATCAGTACAATACGTCACCGAGCACATCATATGGAAGCCACCTAACTGAAAGGTTCCATTGACACTGCAAAACTTGTCTTGGCATCAGGTCCAACAAAATTTGCACATACCTTTGTGCCCTCATCCTCGACTAGGTGTGCTTGGTTTGTTGCTACATTAGGACATTGCAAATTGGTCTAAGAACTCTGGGACATTGTCTGGATACAACCTAGGTGTGTCTAAAGGGACAACATCGTTTATTGATATGGACATAAGAGAAAACTATGAGACCTGAACTCAAGAATATTCTCAGCAGGATGAAATGCCCCGCGGTTGGGTTCTGTTAGCTCTGTTCCCAACCCAAAACATCTATTGCCAAGGCATGGTACCTGTCAACGTTGGACCAATGGCAAAGGGAAAATGGGGTATCCTTTGGATAAGCTTGTGAGAAAGGATATCTGCGTTACTAACAGAAACCCAACTGATTTTATTGTAATTAATGACAAGAACAAGTATATGAGAAAACTTTGAGGTAGAGAGAAGTGTTGTAGTTGGAAAATAGTTAGATTAATACGTTTCACTTTATCAAGCAATTATCATTTGTAGAGGATGGAGGAAGGGCTATGCTGAATCTTGTGCAAGATAAAATATAATGTCTCTCCTTTTCCCGTTTTGCTGAACCACTTCCATGAAACATGGAGATTTTCTTACTTCAGTTGGATGTGATGCTTGCAGGCTGTGTGTCAGACACTGATGGACGCGCTATTTCCTGAATGGAGGAGCAACAGGTACCGTACCCAGGTGCAGCTAGGCGAAGAGTTGATGCCAGGTGGCTTTGAAAAAACCCCAGTAAAGTTTAGTTGTTTTGTACAAGCACAAGAGAGACACATGTAAGGCTGTTTTTTCAAAAAAAAGAAAAGAAAAGAAAACATGTGAGGTTGCTGTGGCCATAGAATAGAAATGTCTAAGGCTTTGTTTAGATAGTTGTTAGGAATCAGTATTTGGCACTGTAGCACTTTCGTTTATATTTGATAATTATTGTCCAATCATGGTCTAACTAGGTTCAAAAGATCCGTCTCGTAATTTACAATTAAATTATGTAATTAATTATTTTTTATCTATATTTAATACTCCATGTATGTGTCCAAAGATTTGATGTGATGAAGAGAGAGTAAAAAAACTTGGAATCTAAACAAGGCCTAAGTACCAAAGTGGGCAGTGTGGTTGTGCTATTTGTAATGTATAGCTGTACAAGTCAACTGGTTCGGTCTTCAGGCTGTCCTGCCCTGACGAAGCATTGGCCTTGTTTAGTTCACGGTTAGGAATCAGTATTTGATACTATAGCATTTTTGTTTGTATTTGATAATTATTGTCCAATCATAGTCTAACTAAGCTCAAAAGATTCGTCTCGTAATTTATAATCAAACTGTGTAATTAGTTATTTTTTTTATCTATATTTAATACTATATGTATGTGTCCAAAAATTTGATGTGATGGAGAGAGAGTGAAAAAACTTGGAATCTAAACCAGGCCCTTGAAAGAATGGCTGAATATTAGATGAGTTATATTGTTGTCGCAAGAGGCACGTCGTGATACTGTGATGGTAGGGCTGGTTTAGTTGGTGATTTTTTTTAAATCGTACTGTAGTATTTTTGATTGTTATTTAGTAATCAATGTCTAATCATAGTCTAATTAGGTTTAAAAGATTCGTCTCGTGAATTTCGTCTAAACTATGTAATTATTTTTATTTTTTATTTATATTTAATGCTTCATGCATACGTCTAAAGATTCGATGTGATGAGAAATCTTGAAAAATTTTGTAAAATTTTAGGAACTAATTAGTCACTAAGCTGTTTTCGGCAGAGCCCCCCGGCGTGGAATGATTGCTGTCACTCGCCGCGCTAAGCTATAGCAGCGCGCAGGCCGCTGGAGAACGCCGGCGCCACGGCGGAGGGCGCCCCGGACCGGGCCTTCAACGCGCTGCCACTCTCCGGCGTGCGCGTGTCCCTCGCCGAGCGCGGCCGCGCGCTATGCTCCCTCCGCGTGCCGCCCCACCTCACAGTGCGTGCCTCTCCCAGTCTCCTTCCTTCCTAGTTCCTTTCTTGTAGCCCAGGCCTAGCCCAGCTCTCGCGTAACAAGTTCTTGGCTTGGCTTGGCTCTGATCACTGGTCAGGACGCGGAGGGGAACTGGCACACGGGCGCCATCCCGGCGGCGGCGGACGACTCGTGCGCCGCGGCCATCATGTCCGTCGAGGGCATCATCAAGGTCTCAGTCAAGGACACACGCACGCCCGCCCGCCCGCCCGCACGCACGCACACGCAAACACACACACGCACACGCGCGCGCGCACACACACGTTAGCGTTTGACTACCAGGCGTGTCGTCGTCTTCAATCAGGCGGGCGATGAATGGCGTGTCACTGCCTAGCAATAAGTAGAGTACATCATGTCCAGCCTATGCTGTAACGTGATTGCAGCAAGCTCCACGGATAAGGCACTCCCATTCTGTACTAGTTTCATGTAGCAGCATTCTTTTTTAGCAATCGTATTGGTTTTGTCTTTTCTGAATTATGATCAGGTAATTGTGATTGCCTAGAAATTTGCTGTCAAATACTTCTTTTTTCTTGAATACGCAACAGGTCTGGGCACCATTGTCATTAAGGTAGGAGAGTTTGAGCGTACAAAAGACGCGCTTCGGGCGCCCTAGGTGGTCTAGAGTTACAGGCTTACAGCAAGAAGTCGGACCTCCCTAGCTGTCAGATACTTCTAAAACCAGAGCAGGTTATTGAGGGCTTATGCAGATCCAAGTCTTTTTTTTACTATTCTGATGAAATTATTCCTCCGAAATGTTCTGAGAAAAGATTAAACTTGTCATTGCTAAGAGGGATATCTTTCTTTTTCATGACACGCCTTTCACAGAAATTCAGTCTATATATGTGGACTGCATCACCCATATTACATTGTCCAATTTGGTGAGCCTGGTCTTTTAAGTAAAGCCACTTTAATTTCTTAGGCACCCAGCACTTGGTTAGCATTAGCTGCACATTTTTTTTGTGCTAATAAGATGGGATAGAGAACCGGAATATTCGTCATTCTTTGGGCACCTTCTCTTGTCTTCAGCATTTGTTGTTTGAGCAGTTGGGCAGGTGGTCTGCCATGATAATTCTTCGCTGATATTCCGTAGTATTTATTTGTTTATTTATAACCATAGTGTGGATGCAACTTTTGGCTATTTTTTAGCACAAGAAAGCAAACAGGTAAGGTAGCAGGAATAGGATTGGCCATTCTATTCTATCGCGTGTAGACATGCTTCTTTTTGAACTTTGATTCCCAGAAGCAACCCATACCTAGGAATAGGATAACAGGGCAGTGGCCAGTGGTTATGTTTCAAACCATCAAAGTTAAGGAATCCACACCTCTTAACGAAATACGTGCCAAGGCGTGTTCGCGGAAAGTTAAGGGATCCAAAGCCTTTCAGAAATCCACAGTCGTTTTCTGTTACATGGCTCGGTGAGTCTGCCACCCCCCTTTTCTGTTACAGATTGGGCTCTGTCACCGTTTTCAGATTTTTTACAGGTTTGAGTGCTAAGTACCTTTTTTTTCTAATGAACGTACGGGCAGTGTTCAGTTAATCAGTTCAGAATCTCTGTATATTCAGAAACAGCACTGAACAGATATGTTTTCAGCCTGTATTTATGTTTTGAAGGGTGGTGACGGCGGTGATGGTGGACTGGTAGAGATCCGGGAAAAGGAGTGGTAGCCATCGGAGGCAGTGGATGACGGCATCCATGCCCAAAGGCTCTCAAAGCAAGATCTGAAGCTTCCTTGGATTTCCCTGGAACTTGGTCCAGGGAAGTGAACTAGCTGTAGCATCTCGCCTTAACGCAGAGTAACTACTGGCTGAAGCACAGTTAGGTTTCTGTGACAGGAGCTGAATTGGATTTCAGGGCCTGTGATTTGTCTACAAATTCAGTTCCTGATGTCCCCTCTAAATCAATCATGCGTTGGCAAGCAAGCAAATAAATTGAAAAAAAATTCATCTCTGTCCTCCATTAATTTCAGCTCTGTTTTGCGTCGGTTTCTGTTGCATTGCTAGCAGCGTTTGTTAATGGATTTTGTTCGATATGCCATTGCGTTTTATATATATGATGACCGGTAACGACGCATGCATTGTTTTGTTTTGTTATTTAACGAGAAATCCATGGCCATTCCAAAGCAACTTTACCTAATCTTCAGAAAACGTGGCGAGATGGAAGAAGGTCGTACTAGCAAGCGGCGATCCCAGCATCCAAACGGGCGGCCTGCCGCAGCCGGTGGCGTGGACATGGGCGACGCCGGTGACGGCGAAGCGCGGGCGCTGCGGCTGGTGGCCGTTGCGAGGAAGTGGTTGGAGGACCCCGCGTGGGGTACGACGGCGGCGTCAGCGAACGCGCGGCCGGCGGCAGCAAGGCGCTCAGCTGCGTGGCGCTGGCCAGGGCACGCGTCTCTGTCGCCGAGCCCGCCCGCGTCGTCTTCTCGCTCTGCGTGCGCGCCCCCGTCGCCGTGCGTGCTGGCCGTCGACCCAGCTCCTTACTCTCCTGAATATCCGCATTTTTCTGTCTGTATACCCGCAACTCTGGAGCTGGAACAGTCACCGCTAGCTCCGGCCGGCCTCCATCGCAGACGGAGGTGGAGGTGGAGAGGCGAGCGGTGAGCCGGAAGGGGAAGCTGACTGCTGTGACGGTGGAGGTGCGCAAGAAGGTGTCCGACGAGCTGGTCACCTTAGGGAGTCAGTGGGTGACTCCTGCCTGGCCAACCAAGGCCAACAAAACCAGCAAGCTCTGAAGAAGAAGAAGGTAAAATGTCTGTGTAATAATTCGCTAGCAC